CCTCACTTTCTTGAAAGATTTCAATTTTTATTCCATCAATTCCTGGTGCCTTGTTCTTTGCCAATTATATAGTACAATGTGCTTATTTATTGGTAGCCAAGTTATTCAGAAAGTCCCAGAAATACTTACCTATTACACAAATTTTCTACAATATAAACTAAAATATTTACATGTGATTTACATCTTAGTAAGATTATGTTTATAATGTATATATTAAATAACACAAACTGTTGATTTCTGCTCATTAAATAGGAAAAAAGTACATAGCATATTTGTAATCAGGTTTTCTGTTAACATAGTTTCTAGATTTTTAAAATATTTGAAACATGGCCAGTATAGGGATAAGCACTGGATTGCAAGGTCCTTGTGAGAAACAAGGTGTATGGTTTACACTCACCAGCCGCTTCTTAGAAACACTATACAGGGCTGCTATGAGTTGGAACGACTTGGTGGCACTTAACAACAACAAAAGTATTTAAGAGGATGAATTTCATAAGTAGTCTTGGTTTTCAGGAGAAAGTGTCTGCAAATATATTGGTTGGCAAAAATAAGGCAATGGAAACATATTGACTTTTTTTTTTTTAAATAACTCTTTGTCTTTACTGCCAGCCCTGTTTCTTGTCCTTTTCCATTTCTGAAGAGTTAAAGAAGAGATTATTCCAAGTGTTATTGAAGATTGGTAATAAAGAGTCAGAAATTTTGCTTCATTGCAACCAAGACATATGATAGTTAACTGGTATTGTAACTTCTTAGGAACCAGCTAGCTGCATTTAGCGAGCTGGGAATGAGGTTTTGCTAGACCCTCACTCTACACACATGTATTAGTGGCTTTTGATGTAAGTAATACTGTGGCTCTATGGGCTAAGGCATCAGACTGCAAAATTGTTTGAACTACAAGGTCGGCGATTCAAGCTCACCACCTGCTCCTCAGAAACCCTATACAGGGTCGCTATTAGTCGGAATTGACTCAACAAGGGCACTTAACAACAACAACAACAACAACAATACTAGCAGGGCCTGTCTCTAAGGTAGTTCCTCACCAGTGGTACATCATCTGGAAGCATTTAAATATGGGGAGAGTTGCATCCCTCTTTTGCCTCCACATGCTGGTATCCAGCACAGGCTGTGATGCTCTGCCTCAGTCATCCCATTTTACCTGGGTGGTCTCTGTTGCTGTAGCTGTGATGTCACACACTGGTCCTAACCCGTGGTTGGTTGTTTTGTGTTTCAGCTCCCTGCCTGCAATTGAACACAAAGACCTGGAGGAGACTCTCACATCCTTCCCTGAGAAGAAAGAAGGCAGTGAAACCGATTAAAGGAACTGTGGCTTGTGGCCTTTTTTTGTGCAGAAGTCACCAATAGGGGGAAGAAGTGACTTGAAGCCACAGTGGCAGTTTATGAGATGTGAGATGAGGCACTGCTGCTGACCCTCTGACCCCGGGATCGTCAGCCGCCCTTTGTGCTTCATGTACATGTGTGTATTCCACCCCTCCGGAGGTGCCCAGAAGAGACTCCAACACGGCCGCCGGGGAAAGACCGCCCAACATGCCCACGGAGACACTGCAGACAGGTAGCATGGTGAAGCCGGTCAGCCCGGCCGGCACCTTCACCTCGGCTGTGCCCCTGCGCATTCTCAACAAAGGCCCTGACTACTTCCGCAGGCAGGCTGAACCCAACCCCAAGCGGCTCAGTGCCGTGGAGCGGCTGGAGGCCGACAAGGCAAAGTATGTCAAGAGTCAGGAGGTGATTAATGCCAAGCAGGAGCCAGTGAAGCCCGCAGTGCTCGCCAAGCCGCCTGTGTGCCCCGCAGCCAAGCGCGCCCTGGGCAGCCCGACACTCAGGGTGTTGGGCAGCAACGCCAAGACCGAGAGCGGCGTGCAGAGGGAGAACCTTAAACTTGAGATTCTGAAAAACATCATTAACAGCTCTGAAGGCTCCAGCTCAGGCTCAGGCCACAAGCACGGACCCCGAAACTGGCCACCACACAGGGCTGATGCCACAGACCTGCACCGGCACTCCTTTGCAGAGTCGCTGAAGGTCTACCCAGGCCACGGCAGTCCGCAGGAGAGCAGCTCCCACGTAAGCAGGAGGCTTCTGGAGCAGTCAGCGGAGTCCTTCCTCCACGTCTCCCACAGCTCCTCGGACATCCGCAGGGTGTCAGCTGTGAAGCCCTTAAAAGCAATCCCCTGCAGTAGTTCCGCCCCACCCCTGCCTCCCAAGCCCAAGATCGCAGCCCACCCGACCACCAAGTCCCCGGAAGTAGACGCTGTGGAACCATCCTGCGGGGTCAGCAGGAGACCCTCCTTGCAGAGGTCCAAGTCCGACTTGAGTGACAGGTACTTCCGTGTGGATGCCGACGTGGAGCGCTTCTTTAACTACTGCGGCCTGGACCCCGAGGAGCTGGAAAACCTGGGTATGGAAAACTTTGCAAGGGCTAACTCTGACATCATCTCCCTCAACTTTCGAAGTGCAAGCATGATCAGCTCAGACTGTGAACAGTCTCAGGACAGCAACAGTGACCTTAGAAATGACGACAGTGCCAATGACCGGGTGCCATACGGCATTTCTGCCATCGAGAGAAATGCCCGGATCATCAAGTGGTTATATAGCATCAAACAAGCACGGGAGTCGCAGAAGGTCTCCCATGTGTGAGGACACTGCAAGGAGGAGGGAGGGAGGATGTGTTTGTCTGTGCATACTCAGTTGTGAAGGTCGTGAGGTCCCCTTGCAGTCTTGTGAGCTTCTCCATGCTCTTTGTGTTGCTTGTTGTGCAATGTTTCCGAGTTGCATGCCTGTCAACAGGGGGATGATCTGGCTTCCACTGGAACCATCGCTGCAGAACCCGGCTGCACACACACATCATCTGCCAAAACGGCCGGACCGGAATCTAACTATAGGGCTTCATTCTTAAGCAAAACTGTTTACATGAAAATGGTATACGACTTCTTCAATATTTATGTGGTTATGTGTTTTTTATATCCCGCGCTATTGTGTCTTAATTAAAAGTTTTATCAACTGGCTTTTAAGTTGAGAGTAGAATATTTTTTAAATAAAAAAGCCAATTTGCCTACATGTGAGACTATAACCATGGGAACATAAATGGGATCTGCTATTAAAAAGAGAGACCAACTGGCCGGGGTCAAGCTGTTTTCTGAGGCGTAAAGTGGTGAGCTTGATGTTAATCATAAATCTATGGAAATAACTCTTGCCACTTATTGAAGTGATTGTTGATGCAGTCGTGCTAAGTTTTGTGTCCGACTTAGTGTGTAAACGTTGGTGGTTCTGTGAAATACTGATCCTAATGAAAGATGATCTGAAATCATGGAGATTGGGTATTGGGGGTCTTGTTGATACTGTTTTGTTTTTGGGTAACTCAGAAAATTTCTGCTATTAATCTTTGGACAGAAACAGCTACCCTAAAGTTGATACTGAATGCCTTCTAAAAAATAATAATAATAAGGTATTTTGGGAGGGGGAGGCTTGCGGGGGGGACAAGAACTGCTATGGCTATGCTTTTTCCTCCTTTTCTTTCTTTCCTTCCTTCCTTTTTCTCTCTTTCTTCCCTTACTCCCTACCCCCTCTTCCTCTTCTTGTTTTACTTGGGAGAAGGGAGTAGGGCTTGTTCAGTTTGAGCTTTTTGACAGCATGAACAAAAATGGAAGCACACAGCCATATCAGTATAAAGTCTTCTCTTCAAAAATAAAAGCATTTGGTCACTGAGCCCTATCTGAGCAATGTGATTATGTTGTTTGGCATACATTACTCTCACAGGCTGTGGGCTTTGTTACGACTCTAGGAAATGGTAAGATAAGGCACTATATGGTGTTTCCTCCCTTGCAGTCTCCAGCGTTGTGTACCAGCTGTCTTTTTCAACAACTTGTCCTCCCGGTTAGCTGGCTCTTGGCAGACCAGTCACGGGGGGTGGTTAGCAGCGGGTTAACTGTACTTCAGTCTGCTCCCTTGTTGGCCTGATCTCTCACTCTTAAGTACTTTCCAGCCCTATCCTAGAGGCCATCAGCTCATAGGAAACTTTTTATGGTGTAAATGCTGTAAGACTTTGTACATACTTCAGTTGTTATGAAATCTTTAAAAAAAGGAAAAAGAAAATGTTTCACTAATAAATAGCTCTGACACAGTCAGTAATGGTGGTGGTTTTTCTCTGTCCTTCCCTTTCCTCCCTCCAGGAAAGCTTTTACTTGCAGCTGTGAGTTAGATTTTTGATGGTCTTGGAGAAACATGATTTCATGAAGTCATTTTCACAGTCTCACAGTGATTTTGAACAGCAGCTTGCATAACTACAGCATAGCAACACGCTTTCTCTAAGAGTTCCATCGAGGTTCCTAAAATCTGCTGCTGCTGCTGTTTTACTTAGTTCACACTTCCTTGAGTTATTTTTATCTTTTCTTGAACATCAGAATTTTTCACATCTTCCACAAGACTTTTTAGTTGTAAATATTTATGAGTTCTTACAGAGAAGACATGACTTTGAAGTAGGTAGCCTTTTATTTGTACAAACCCCAGCATCATTAACATGACACATTCATATATTCATCTGCTCATCCATTCATTCTTTTTTGAATATGTTATCTATTGAATGAATCCCTCGTTCAGGCACTGGACTGCTTGAATCAACAATATGGCCACTGCCTCAAGGTACTTTGATTCTCACATTTATTTTTCAGAGAAATATTTTTCCTGTTGGTTCTAACTCATAGCAACCTTGTATAAGGTTTCTAAGGAGCAACTGGTGGGTTTGAACCACCGACCTTGTGGTTTGCAGACCAGCGCTTATCCTATAGTGCCATGAGTATTCTACATGCATTTATTCATCAATTCGAGTTATTTGAAGATTAACATTTCATAAAAGTCCATATGATATACAAATTAAGAAGCAACTTTGAGAAATAAATGTTTATTAACATTTTCCTTCTGAAAATCAAAGTTCCTAAATACTCCCTACTAGTTTTGAATTCTTCCTAGGTCTGTGGTTAAATTTGGTTCAACCCTCCTCGTAGAAGAAGTATTTTAGAATGTAGCTCTAAGCGGTAATAACAATACATTTCAGATCATAGAATAAAAGTACATTTTCTTCCCTCACCACTGTGTACAAAGTTGACCACTTAAGACATATATGGCTCCACAATTACATATCCAGCTCTTCCTGGACTATTTAATAGATGTTGTTTTCCTAAGGAAATTTAATATTGCTGCCTGTAGTATTTCAGATATTGCTTGTGTTTGAATCTTCCAGGATTTTAATACGATAGCAATACTGCATTCAGACAGGGCTATAAATCATCCCACATAATTCAGTCTAATCTCAGGTTTTATATATTCAGTGGACAAATGTGAGGCTTTGGTTCCTATGGAAGGTAAGAGCTCATTATTTTCTCTTTGTGCTTGAAATTACAGTTTCTATAAAGGATTGTATTAAATGCTTAGTGTTGAATCCTGAGAGTGAGAAATTTCATAATTGTAAAGTGCTTTTGGAAAATTGCCCATCCTGTGAAGGTTTTGAAAGTATCTTATGTGCATACATGTGTGTGTGTAAGATGGTAGTGTTGATAGGAATACAAGGTTGTCATATTTGTATCTTACACAATACAGAGCAAAACATAATTGTATAGGATAATCCTGACAATTGGTTATTTCTTACTGAAAACCACCATCTCATAAGACAATTTTACCATATCCATCTCCACAAGCATTGCTTTAGCTCAGGTGCTAATTTTTCTTACCTGGGCTATCCTAGAACTTCCTAACTGGAGGCGCCCTTCCCAGCCAATCTCTTCCCCATCCCATTTAACTTCAAAGATACCGTAATCAACTTAGATACTGTCACCCTTTTGTACAAGAACACCCTCTGGTTTCAGTAGATTTCTGAAAGGATGAATCCTAATTTCTTAACATGTACTTCATCTCCACTATCTCCTCCAGCTACTGAGCCAAGATCACCAGCTCCAACCAAAGGGACGTTTCCAATGGAAACTTTTCACCACTGTATTGGTTTTTTGTTGCTGCATAACGAAGTACCTCCAAATTCAGCAACTTAAAATAATAAACATTTATTATTTCACGGTTCCTATGATAGGGAGTCTTGGAGTAACTTAACCAGATTGCACTGACTCAGTGTCTCGGGAGGTTACAGAGAAGATGCTGGTTGTGGCCACATCATCTGAAGGCTGAACTGGGAATGGAAGCCTCACTTCCAAAATGGCATTGGCCTCAGTTCCTAAAGACATGGGCCTCTCCCTAGGGTTGCTTAAAGTCTTTACAATATGGCAGCTGGCATTCCCCACAGCAAGTGATCCAAGCGAGTGGAAAAAAACCCGCCAGAGCCTCTTATGACCCAGTCTTCCAAGTCACACTCCTCCACCCCATTTATTTCATTAAAAGTGACTCGTGAAATAGAGTTTACACTAATAAGAGGAGTTAAGTGTCATCTTAAAGAATTTCTGGAGATAGTTTTATAGATTTCTATATTCTGAGAAGAATGCTTTCTCCTCTGTTCTAAACCTTGCAGTTGTTCTTTCAAGATCCAGTATATAACTATCAGTCAGTGAAATCTGTCCGAGTTTCTTTGTTCCCTTTCCCCACTGGGTTGTGATTTTGGTCATGGCCACAAACGTGGATTTTAACAAGGATTGTTTTCCCCAGATGGAAACCGTCCTAGTAGGTATTCAAACCTCTGACGACTGTGATGTCAGCCCCAGCCCCAGACATACCATATACCATACCATGCATAGTAACCCAGAGTACATACCGGTGGTGATTGATGCCGTGGAGTCGGTTCCAACTCATAACAAGCCTGTACAGACTTCCGAGGTTGTAAATCTTTATGGGAACAGAAAGCCTCATTTTTTTCCTGCAAAGTAACTGGTAAATTGAAACTGCTGACCTTTCGGTTAGCAGCCCAGTTCATAAACCACTATGCTACCTGGGTTCCTTAGAGTACATTGTTGTCATTAAGTGCTGTCGAGTCGATTCCAACCCGTAGGGACCCTGTCTAGGGTTTCCCAGGAGCAGCTGGTGAGCTTGAACCACCAAGCTTGCAGTTCAAACGACTTTGCAGTCTGTCGTAATAACCCACAGCGCCACACCAGGCAGGACTCTCTAGAGGACATGTTGTTCAGACTCATAGTGACCCTGCACAGGGGTTCCGAGGCTGTAAATCTTTACAAGAGCAGAAAGCCTCATCTTTCTCCTGCATGGTTAATATGTTGCTGGGGTTTTTTTTTTTATGAGTTTTTAAATTACCAATATTAAGTTTTATGCTATAAATATGATCACAGTAAACCCAAGGTGGTTGTGATTGTCCTTGTTTAGAGTTTAGGAACTTCGGTTTCATGGAAGTCTATACCTTGACCATGATCCCAGAGTAATTAACTGGCAGGGTGGAACATTTGAACTCAGCTCTAAAATCTCAGACTGTCCTTCCTGCAGCCCAGTTTCAAACAAAGGCAGACAGACTTTGTTCAATCAAAGGCTTAAGAACTGAAATGTCCTTAAATTCCTCATGATAATTTTGTTTGTTTCATGTACTATTTTAGCTGTCTCTATCAGAATCAGCAATTTCACTCTTATCTAAAATATAATTGACAGCATTTAGAATGGAAACTTAAGTTGTTAAATTATGAGCAACCTATATCCCT